ACACTCTCCAGTTTAATAATATCCTTTCTATAACTGGGCGACCAGAACTGGACACAGTATTCCAGAAGAGGCCTCCCCATTGTCCTGTACAATCTCAACATGACTTCTCAACTCCTACACTCAAAGGTCTGAGCAATGAAGGCAAGTCTTCTCAGCCATCCTGAGTACTGGAGACACAAATTGCAAAAAAATATGTACCTGAACCCTAGGTCTCTCTACAACACTCCCTGGGGCCCTACCATTACTCGGAGATAGCAAGAACTGCAGATGCTGGAGTCAGAGTTAATACAGTGTGGAGCTGGATAGACGCAACAGATCAGGCAGCATCAGGGGAGCAGGAGAGTCGATATTTCAGGCCTAAACCCTTCATCAGGTCCTGAAGAAGGGTCCCGACCCGAAACATCAACTTTCCTGTTCCTCTGATGCTGCCTGATCTGTGTTCCTCCAGCTCCATGCTGTATTTATCCTATCATTAGTTGTTACCAATGTTGAGTATTTCTGGGATCAGTGATGGTCAGGGTTAAATAAGAGAAGTCAAAGGTTCGTTACATGTTGTGCAGGCATATACCTTGTGATCTACATTTTATTGCAACTGATGCACTGTGACCATCTCCTACTACATTGATTACTCATTCCCTACCGTGTGGTGACAGAGTTTTAGTATCTCTGGTTCAATAGTCCAGAGAGTATAGGTTCAAATCCCACTATGGCAGATTTGAATGCAATAGAAAAAGAAATCTGCAATTAAAGGGAATAAAGTAGCTTAACGGCATACATGTAATACCCCTTTGGGAAGGATATCTGCCTCCCTTGTTCAGCCTGACCGACATGTGACTCCAGACCCACACCAAACTGGTCGATTCTTCATGTCCCTATGAGCAATGGGAGAGGTGAAGGTTAGTGGTATTATTGCTAGACTGTGTTAATCCAGAGACTCAGTTAATGTTCTGGGGAGCCAGGTTCGAATCCTGCCAAGGCAGATGGTGCAATTTGTACTCAATAGAAGTCTGGAATTGTGAGTGTAATGATGACACAGCACCAACTCCTTCACCAGGGTGGTGTTTTATATTAAATGCCAGCTAAGCTAACACTTCAGCTCCTGACCGCTTCTTATCTATCACAGAATTGTTACAGTACAGGAGGCTGTTTGGCCCATCATGACCACCATACCAGCTGTCATATTAATGATAATGGTCTCATCATCAGTTTTTTTTTGTCTTGGTTAGATCAACTCCCCGGGTTAGTTTAATTTAAACAGTAGAGTACATTACAAGTTATAAAGCAGGCATTACAGAAAAATAATTGTTTTTTTTGTGTGTTCAGTTTGCAATCCCACAGTAGACTGACTGTCAGGAAGGTTTGCAATAGTATATACATACAACATGTGGAGCTCTTAAAGGTGAACTATCTTAAAGGCAAGGTATGCAAACAACACCAGGTTTCAAAATGATCAACTTATTTAGTGCTATTCGCTCTAACCCTCTGCGTTCCTCCTTCTGAGATAACAAGTTTGGAAGCATCTGAATGTGGTGCTGACAGTGGCCCCCAGTGTCACCTCCCTATATCTCCCCTTTAAATTGGAACAGCCTTTCTCTCCAGTCTCCAATCAGTACAGGATCTTGCAGAGTTCAATGTGATCAACTCACTGACACAGGAGATGCAGACAAACCTGAGGGAAACCACAGAAAGGAGCCAGAAATTAGACCTCTGCACTGATTACACACCCCAGGGTCATTCCGAATATTTCAGTTAGATCTTCCAACATGTCAGCAATGGCTCCGGGATAGCGCCCACACCCCTTAAATTGGAAGATTATGGGGTCGTGTCTTGTCCCAGTGCTGTTCTAAGGGAGTCCTGCAGTTTTGTAGGTGCTGTCTTTTGGATGAGATGTTAAACTTGGGCAATGTTTGGCCTTTTAGCTGGATTTAAGAGATCCCAAGCCACTATCTCGAAGATCAGCAGAAGAATCGGCAATATTTATCCCTCGAGGAGCAACGCTCAAAAAAAAATACAATGACCTGGGAGTCTGTATTCAGTAAACTTTTGTTTTATTTATTCATGAAGGTGTCGCTGGCTAGGCCAGCATTTATTGCCCATCCCTAATAGCCCAGAGGGCAGTTAAGAGTCAACCGTATTGCTGTGGGTCTGGAGTCACATGTAGGCCAGACCAGGTAAGTATGGCAGCTTGGAGACAGTAAGACCTGCAGATGCAGGAGTCAGAGATAACACAGTGTGGAGCTGGAGGAGCACCATAGGCCAGGCAGCATCAGAAGAGCAGGAAAGTCGAAGTTTCGGGTTGGGACCCTTCTTCAGAATTGGGCATTAGTGAATCAGATGGATTTCTCTCAACAATTGGCAACAAATTCGCAAAGGCTCTTAATTCCAGATATTTATTGAATTCAAATTTCACCATCTGCCGTGGGGTGATTCAAACCTGACTCCCCAGACCATTACCTGGGCCTCTGGTCTAACAGTTCAGCGATAATACCACTAGGCCATTGCCTTCTTCTATTAATCATTGTGTTTATAAACAAGGAACAGCAGATGCTGGAAATCTGAAGCAAAAACAGAAATCTGCTAGAAAAATTCAGCTGGTCTGGTAATGTCCGTGGAGAGAAAGCAGGGTTAATGTCTTGGGTCCAATTACCCTTCTTCAAAACATCCTGATGTAGAGTCACTGAACTTGAAACACTAACTCTGCTGTTTCTCTCCATAAATGATGCTACACCTACTGAGTTTCTCCAGCAGTTTCTGGTTTTGGTTGTTATGTTTTCCATGTGACAAAAGTGACTACATTTGAAATATTATTCTGTTGCTGTAAAGTGGTTTGGGACGTCCTGAGGCTGTGAAAGCCACTCTAAAAATGCTGTTTCAGGTTGTAGTTAACGTGGTAGATAAAGAGAGAGTGGAATTCCTGTTATATTTTCAACAATCTTACAATGTCCCATTGTACTTAACAGCTAATAAGGTACTTTTGAAGTGTAGTCATGATTGTATTGTAGGAAACAAAGCAACCAATATGCTCGCAGGAAGCTCCCAAAAACAGAACTGTGATAAATATTCAAGTACCTGTTCTGATAACGTTGCTCATAGAAGGTCAAATGTCAAGGAAGTATCGCGTAATTTGCAAATCACCATGAAAAATAAGTTGGCACCTTTTCTGGTTTTGTATTTGAAGGAGAGGCACGGACTTGAATTCCATTACTGGGCGCTGTTTGATGGGCATGCAGGAGCAGCAGCTGCTGTAATGGCCGCCAGGTTTCTTCACCTTCACATCAGCGAGCAGCTGCAAGACATTGTTGACATCCTGCTGGATGGTGAAGTGCCACCCCCCATCTGCCTCACCAGCCACGCCAAAGGGGGAATGGGCAACGGTGCACATGAGGGGGACTGGGAACCCCCCACTGACAGCGAGTCCCGCTTCCTGCTGGAGAAGGAAATATCGCACGAGCATCTGATCATTGGTGCGATCGAGAATGCCTTTCGACAGATGGTGAGCTTTCTTGTGGGATCTCACTCCCTCTTCAGCCAACTCTGGGGACTGGGGCTCTGCTCTTCATGTTCTCACACTTACCTGCCCTCACTGATACCTGGTGGAGGGGATTTTTGTGTCTGTGTCTGTGTCTGTGTCTGTGTCTGTGTGTGTGTCTATGTTTGTGTGTGTCTGTGTGTGTCTGTGTGTGTCTGTGTGTGTCTGTGTGT